GCGAACAACTTCCCTGCTCCCAAAACATTACTCGCTCATTTTCTTCTCCAATAGGGATTGATTCTAGTGTTTCTGCTTTATCTTCTTCTTTCTTAGAACTAACACTGGCATTTCTGGCCTCTTCGACAGGTTTTTTAAAAGTGAAGCCACCTGGTTGTGCTGTGAATAAGAATGATGAAGGAGTTGCCTTTTGTCCAGTACCTGTCTGAAATGCTTGACTAGTGGACTCACTCTGTACTGGAATTTGTCGCTGTTTTTGTTTCTCTTCCTCTTCCACTGTTGGTGACAATGCAAGTCCCTTTCCTCCACTTCCTCTACTACCAATATTGAGACCTGAAGACCCTTTTGATGACACACGAGGTCTACTTTTTAGTGGTGCTTTTCCAAATACAAAATTAGTAGGAGCAGTAGGCATAGCATTGAAGGATGGTTTGGCTGTTGAAGTAGCGAATGATATTTGAGGTGTAGAGGACAGTGTAAAGACTGAACTAGTTGTAGAAACTGCATTGAACTGTGAAACAGCAGACGCAGTAGTTGTAGTAGTAGTTAAGCAAGTAGTTGCTGTAGCAGTACCAGTAGAGCCTATAAACAAAAAGAAAAGGGAAATAGTCATGAGTATCAAACACATACAAATATAGAAGTACAGTGAGTGTATTAATATTACCTTTTAATGGAAGAGTAGTCGGTATTAACTGAGGCACTGGTGTACTAGGTACTCTTTTAAACAGAGTAGTGCTTGGTAACTGAAAAGGTAATTGAGGACGAACTGCAGATGAAGCTGAAAATGGAGGAGTTACTAAAGGAAATGGTGTCTGCATTGGCCCTGTATTAGAAGATGAATATTGAGGCAATGGTGCTCCAGTAGAAGCAGGAGCTAACTGATGAGTTGACACCTTCGTTCTTCCAATATAAGTTGGCATTATTTGGCTTGCTCCTACATATAATGGTGCAGCACTGCCTGCAGTTGTTCTAATACCAGAGGCAGTACCTGTTGACGTACTACTGATAGAAAGAGGAGAACGATAATGAATAGTACTAGAACCACTTGAAGCAACAAAGGAACTAATAGGAGTAGTGGCAGGAGTGTGTGTAGGTGAAGGAGAAAGGAATCTAGCTGAAGTAGTCACAGGTGCACCATTGTATGATTCTTTCAGCTCTTCATTTTTTATTGTCAGAGATCTGTTCATTGCTTGAGTAAATTCAGCTCTTAAGCTCTTTATTAGCAGCATAACCTGTTCCTTAGATTCTTCTAGTAGCTGCTTCTTCTCTGCCTGAAACTGAATCTTCAATTCTTGCTGCTCTCTTCTGTGACTTGCTTTCAGACCCTCAAGTTGAGTGGTTAGCTCTTTAACACGTGCTGATTCTGATTCATACAGCTCTTGAAATCGATTCAACGTAGCTTGTAACTCTTCTTTAAATTGATCAGTTTCCTTCATTGTTCTCTTAATATGCATCTCCGGTGGGAGATTAGTACAGACTGATTCGTGATTCATTGCATCTTTATGAAGATAAGCCACGGAGCAACCAAAAGGACACTTTACTTTAGCAAACTTGCAACTGGAATCGGTATGATTCTTTAGATCTCTTAACTCTCCCACCCACTCACATCCATTCTTGTGGTGTGTACAACGAACCTTCAAATCTAGTATCTCACCGTTGAGCTGCTTCTCTAAAAAACTACTGAAATTAGGCTCACGACAATGGGGACAAGGTTGACCAGAAATATTTACACGCTGTATACAGTCACGACACATTTTCCTAGAGCAGCATGTGACGATATGAGGCTCTCTCATCACGCAATGACATATTAGACAATTGTATCTATCAGAAGGTTGCTCTATGAATATTGGTTCTTCTTTGTCAACTCGAGGGCAGCTTATTGGATAATATTCAGACTGTCCTGCTGAAAAATCCTTTCTTTTACAAGACATCAGTCCATCACTAGCTGCCATTATTATAAACAGGAACTCAGCTCACGTGAACCATTACATTACAATAACATACTGTTATTCTACAAGTTGAAACTTGAAAGGCTAAAGGCCTTTAATAATTTTAACCGCAGGACAGCTTCAACAAAAATAACTATCCATGTGCAAACACGTGTGTGAGCATTAACACTATTAAAATTAATTTCTCACAGTAGTAATTAGCAAAAATGATGTGAATAGAAGGACAAGTAGAACACAAAATAAATGCATGCAAAATCAAATTAAAATAAACACTACAACTAATCGATCAAAAATGATTAAACAAATTCTTCCTTCAATTTTTATTTGGACGAGCTGCTTCACAAGCTACACACTTGTTAGTATTGATATCATTCTTTACTGAACAATCAGGACAAGTCCACAAAGAGTCATCATTATTATCACTTTCACTATCCTGAACCTCCTCCTCCTCCTCCTCTTCTCCTTTCTCTTCTTCATCATCTCCTTTCTCTTCCTCTTCTTTACCTTCCTCCTCCTCCTGTTCTTCCTCCTCTTCTTCTTCTTCCTCCTCCTCCTCTTCTTCTTCCTCCTCTTCTACTTCTTCATCATCTCCTTTCTCTTCTTTACCTTCCTCCTCTTCTTCTCCCTTCTCTTCTTTATCATCTCCTTTCTCCTCTTCTTTTTTTTCTTCTTCTGTATCTCTTTTCTCTTCCCTTACTTCCTCCTCCTCTTTCTCTTCTTCTTCATTTTCTGAATGTCTGTCATTCTCATTAGACACTTCTTTTGCTTTGCTAACTGCTTCTTCAAAAAGATCCTTAAATCTCTTTGCAGTTTCCTCATGTTTGAATCTAAGAGCTAGCTTCTGTGGTAGGGCAGTCTCTTCTGAGTAGTCAGTCTCAGTAAACCAGGTCATTGCTTTAGGATTACCCATTTGCATCTCAATGCTCATACTATCAGTGATGTAATGATTGCAACATAACTTTAATATCTGATCGCGTCTCATAACCAGACGGGTCTGCCTGTTTCCACGATGATAAATAATCTTCATATTACCAAGACCTCTTTCCTTCCATTGATTGGTTGAGCCGTCAAAACGATAGAGTTTCCCACGCTCGTCAAAAAGGGTCTCTCCTTCTTTCTCTGCCGATTTATAGTCGTAAGTCTCTGGTAAAGTAGCGATTGGTTTAAAATGAATATTAGCTTCTTCCTCAGGATTCTCATTTCCTTCTTCCTCTCTGCCTTCTCCACCTCCACCGGAAAATAACTGAGCTCCGGCTCCGGAAAACTTAAAACCTTCATCTTTAATGAAATCGGAGGGTCTTTCAGCACCAGATGCAATATCAGAGAATGACGAGAACCCAACGGCAGCAGAAGAGAATAATCCAGTACTATTGGTCTCACTAATTGAAGGAGCAGCTCCAAAGGAACTGCTTGATGATGCTGAATGAAATGATGATTTATTGATTGTGTCTTTTTCCTCTTTATTATCATTGTGAGCTGGTTTATCTTCAGGTGCTGGTTCAATACTCATGGAAGAGTTTTCATTCTCTTTCTTCTCTTTACCGTAATCTGGTGGGAATTCAAAGTTATCGCCACAGCCACGGCAACCAGGGCATGCCTCCTTTTTGAGATAATTATAAAAGTGTTTGGGAAGGAAGAGTCCTTCTGCCTCCTGTACTAGATCAGACGAGGGAAGCTCCTCATATAAGAAGATGACATCATCATCATAACTGTCTTGTGTCTCATTCCCTGAAAATAAAAAAATATTATTAATAAATAATTTGTTAACAACTTACCTTTTCTTTCTTCAGTTTCATCTTCATCTTGTTTTTCTTCTATTTCTACTCCTCCATCTTTGTCTTCAGCCATTTCTTCCTCCTCATCTTGTTTCCCTTCTTCATCTTTTTCTTCAGTTTCTTCCTCTTCATCTTGCTGCTCTTCTGTTTCTTCTTCTTCATCTTTGTCTTCAGCCATTTCTTCCTCTTCATCTTGTTTCCCTTCTTCATCTTTTTCTTCAGTTTCTTCCTCTTCATCTTGCTGCTCTTCTGTTTCTTCTTCTTCGTTTTTTTCTTCAGCCATTTCTTCCTCTTCATCTTGT